GCAGGAGGACAATTATTTTGTTAATAGATGCACTCTTTTCGCATGGACACTGTCGTGGTCATGGGTGGCCTTCGGCCTTAATGAAGTGTTACGTAGGTTGGTATTACTCACCGACGACAACGCCTATTCTGAATATTAATACTGCTAATAATGCACTTGTGTGCGTTTAGATTTTATGTATTTATATAAAAAACGACACGGAGCAGCTAAAGACGTCCGCTCGGCACCACGGTCGCGACGAAAGAGTTTGAATATGATGATGATATGATATGACTGTAATAATCATCATCTAAAGTACTAAACACTGCAAAACGTGTACAGGGTTTGCTGGTGGACTTAACTGACCCACGACTGTTTTTATTGACTAAAATTATTCAGATTTTTAATCAAAAAATTCTTCCTCCTCCATTTTAATTTTCCTATAACTGTGTAAACAGCGAAAGAAAGTAAATACTAATATTTATGCCACTATTATTATCGATATTCATCTAAGCTTCATGTTCCTAATGTATGATTATTGCTGTTTTCAGGGACTATTCTTCAAGGACACAAACACCCTGGCATATTACAACGTGCCACCCGGCGCCGTCATACAGCTGCAGGTCAAGGAGAGAGGAGGTCGCAAGAAATAGTACGACTAGTGCTGCCATCTCTGTTTAATATCGGAGCAAGGAGGTTGCAAGAAATAGGTTTACTATGACTAGTGCTGCCATCTCTGTAGCATATCGGAGAAAGTATATATTTTGGTTGGTCGACCATTTTTAAGAAATTACTGGTTGCATATTATTTTCTTATATTATGTAGTAAGAATAAATGATTTAAATAAAGTAATTGTCTATCATTTACAAATTTTTTAAAGAAAACGTTATTTAAGAATCTTGTGCATAATACACAATTTAGTTATTGTGTACGTAACAACGACCATGACCAGAGAAGAGCATGTGCGTAATTTTTGATTGTAAATTCTTAGAGCAAGGATAACTAATAAAACCACAAATATTTTTAATACATTTATTATGATTGTGAGTCAAATACAAAAGTGTACAAATATTTAAAATACATATAAATATAAAATTAATCATGATACAAATATAGCGAATATAATTGCACATTTTAGCACATATTTAAAAATACATCGATATGTTAATAATTCAATTAGGTTTTTTTTTAATTGGTGAAAGCGTGCAGATAAAAAAATAATTTCATCACCTTTTTCTATAGAAGTCTTGAAAATATTTAAGTTTTTTCTATTGAATATATTTTATTTATTAACTATATATATCACATTTTCTCTATTTTAATGAGTACTGTTTAGACATTTCTATATCACAAATAAATTGAAATTCGCAAATGTAAAACTTATTCAAAGAAATTATAAATTCTAACAAAATTATGTAAACAAAAATGTCTTTTATTAGCTTAATCATTATTAAGCATTAAAAAACTTAAAAACAAATCAACAAAAATAAAAATTGTAAAAATGCATCAAAAAATAACAAAAAGCGACTAACAAAAATAGATTAAAACAACATAATAAAAAAGGGAATGTATTAAAAGAGATCTGTCTGAAAATAAAACTTTTCACTGGAGTTCAATTACAATAATTACTATAATTGTTAAGGAATTTGTTAAAAAAAATGATTTATTTTTTATAATCAATAAAAACATATATTTCATAAGATTCATATCACATGATATGTTACAGTTAAGTCAAACTTAACATTTTTAAGTTATTTGCACTTATAAAGTTATTTTGCTTACACTATATGGAATGTCATTTCAATATAAAATATATTTTAAGCTTAAAAAAGCTCAGAACAATTTTTTATTTATATATTTGAATACATGATTTTAAGATAGCAGAGATGTTTAAGCTAAGGCCTGCAGAGTAAAAAGTGGAGAGTATTTTATCATTTTATATAAAGTTGATAGTTTTTAGGGTTCCGTACCTCATAGGAAAAAACCCGAACCCTTATAGGATCACTGTTGTCTGTCCGTCTGTCTGTCAAGACTTTTTTTCACTTAATTGTGTACACACTTTATTTAATATATATATATATATATATTTGGAAGACTAATTCCATTGATACATATGCTTTTTCAAATATATTTCACAAACTGACATTGTTAACTAGACTTTTGTCTATATTACATGATTTATGACATCTATATATATTTTTATTAGATTTTAATGTGTGTATGGGATATGTTATAGTCATGTTTATTGCAGTTTAGGTATATCTTGTATCATAAGGCGGTATCTGGTCAACATCGGGGTGTAAATCTTTTCACTGTCAGGGTAGGGGGTGGCGACAGGCGATAGGGTTGGTTCTGAACCTGTATATATCAATTAATGAAGAACAAATTTTCATAATTTTTACATATAGATAAATAAAAAAAAGTTTTATTTTAAAATATTGCAAAATTAATTAATAAAAAAATTTTTGGATCTATTATCTTATAGCGTGGTTTAATTGTAAATATTTGATTTGAAAGCGATGTAACTCACCAGTGAGCTTAATCCCAGCATCAGCACTCCACACTTCAGCAGCTCGTATGGCCGCGCCGAGTAACGCGGCGTTACCGTGCTCTTCCTATATCAAAAATATACATATAAATATAATTGGAATCTTCTTTTTATATATAAAAAAAGTGGTTAGTTACACTATTTATAACTCAAGCACGGCTTTACTGATATGGCTGAAAATTGGTGAGGAGGTAGCTTAGAGCCAGGAGACATAGGATACTTTTCGAATTTATGCCTTGAAGAACGGCTTTTTTATATTACTAATATTATAAATGTGAATGTTTAGATGGATGTGATGTGGATGGATGGATGGGTGTTTGAATACATCTCTACAACGGCTGATAGTAATTGTTTTAAGGCTTTAGTTTTTTTATTGATACACTTATTGTTGTAAAATTGTAACTTAAGTAAACCCTAAGTATAGATAGTTTTATCATAGTAAATAGTAAATCTAAATAAAAAGAAGAAAGTTTAAAGTATATAACAGAGAGAAATGTCAACTGACCAGTACATATACAGGTGTATTGAAGACATCAGCGAAGATCTGCAGCAGCTCCTTGTTGACGGAGGCTCCCCCTGTCGCCACCAGCCGGGATGACGAGTCTGAAATCATCACATTCATACAAACATTTTATGCTAGTATAAAGAAGTCACGTGACATGTAGTAAACTACTGGATTCGCCAAAGTAGCGAAACTTTTATTCTTTGTAGGAGGGGTCGCATAGAAAGGGTATGTTTCTCCTTATGCGTCAAATCTACTTCCTCTCATAAGAAAAGTATTCTGTAAGTATGTTTGCAGACCTATTTTGAATCCCATGTCCTCAGCGTGTGCGCGTCGTGCAAGCGCCTGACCCTCGAGCAGCGCGCGCGCCTCGAACTGCGGCTGCGGGCGCTCCGCCCTTCGCCCCGCCCCCTCGCACACCCACCGCCCCGCCCCCGCACGCGGCACTATCTCAGCCGTCTCGTAGTATATACCTATACAATGTCAACTATCTTATAATACTAATATTATAAATGCAAATGTATAGATGGATGGATGTTTGTTTGAAGGTATCTCCAAAACTGCTAAACAGATATCGATGAAATTTGGTATACATATAGAACGTAGTCTGGAAGAGCACATAGGTTGCTAATTGCGTTTGTTTTTAATTCAGCGCAGACGGAATCGCGGGTGATAGCTAGTTTTATATTATTGTGTTTCTCGAAAACTTTTATAATAAACTCATTTGGCTTACCTCCTAAAAATTTTCAAACGAAAAATTTAAAGCTGTAATATATTACTGTATTTCGAACGTAATTACATCAGTTTAGACTCAGTGTTATTCTGACAATATGAAATGTCGAACTGAATTTTTTAATTAGTAGGCTTAAATAAACAAATATAAGCAATTATTCTTTTCTAAATTGACTTCAAATATAAAAAAAACTCATTTGCTCATACAAATTATATCATCATCATCATCATCAGCTCACTATACGTCCCCACCGAGGGGCTCGGAGCCTACCCTAAGTTAAGGGTGATTAGGCCATACTCAACTGTGCTGGCCAAGTGCAGGTTGACTTCACACATATCTTTGAATTTCTTCTCAGATATGTGCAGGATGCATCACGATGTTTTCCTTCACCGTAAGAACAAATGATATAACATACCCATATATCCCATGTTGCCTCTGACAGTGGCTCTGAGCAGTTCAGTGAAGTCATCCCAGCTGGTACCGACGAGGCGGTCGCGGTGATACTGACGTGTAAGGGAGCCGTTGGCGAAGCACAGCAGCGCCATGTAGGGCGCCTCCTCTGTCGGCCCCACCAGCACGTGACCGGCGGGGGGTGCAGCAGGCGCTGACAGACCCAGGAGTAACGTGTCACTCGTGCCTAAACTGAGCCCCACCCAGCCAGACCGAAGACGAAGCCCTACAAAATGGTTGCTTATTAATCCATTTTTTTTTACTTTTGTTCTAATGTCTTAATCTAAATTAAACTCTGAATTTTAAAAAAAACTTAATTATTAGCCTATGTGTTCTTCCAAACTATGTTCTACATCTATGCCAAATTGCAGTTAAATCCATGCAGCTGTTCCGGAGATATCTTCTAACAAACATCCATCCATCCGACCATCCATCCATACATTCGTATTTATAATATTAGTAACATATTCCCACCAGAGATAAGAGATTGTTGTGTTCAATTGATTCTCATACTTGAGATATAAATATTATCAACATTTATTTTATTTATTTATATAAAAACTGAAAAGCATCCTTACAGTATACAACCAATTTAACACTATACACACTTTACATAACAGTTTACACGATAACATATTTTATAATAACAGTAAATAACACATAACAATGATAAATAAAAAAAAATACATAGATAAACAGTACAATAATATATAAACGCGTCAACATATATCTATTCTAATACCACTTATCTTATCAAATAAGATTTTCTCACTTCAACTTGTCAATTATTAAACAATTTGACAAGAAAAAAATCTTCAGATAAATAAAACGACACTAAATAAAACTGAATAATACTAATCTGTATGAAAAGAAACAGAAATCTTACTAATATTATAAATGTGAATGTTCAGATGTTTGTTAGAAAATTTCTCCGGAACGGCTGATCGGATCTTGTTGAAATTTGTCTTAAAAATAGAACATAATCTAAAAGAACATATAGACTACTAATTATTTTTTTAATTCCGCACAGACGGAGTCGCGGGTTACAGCTAGTCTATAATAATTCACAGCTTAATTTTTTTTTTTAATTTCTCGTGAAAACACAGTCTTTATAAATTTTAAAACTCACCAGCTAAAGCTGAACAATTATCACCAGTAAATGCGACCACTTTGCAATCTGGTTTGAATCCGTATCGCTTCACAAAGTAAGGAGATATATTTCCCAACACTGACCATGTTGGTACCGGCGCTCCTAGTTTACTTTCCAATGTATCATCACCACAAGCCTGGGCACATAAGAAAAACATACATAGAAATACAATTTTTTTTATTAAATCTATACTAATATCGGAATTTTGTTCGGAATCGGAAGTTTGTTTGTTTAAACGCGCTAATCACAGAAACTACTGGTCCGATTTGAAAAGTTCTTTATTTTTTTAAAGTTTTATAATAAAGTCATAGCAATTGGACTTATCCTCACCATCACCTGACTATATATCCCCACTGAAGGGTAGCCTACCCTAAGTCAGGGTTGACTACGATCAACCACAAATAGCATGGTCACTAGGACTCTGATTTATGCACTTTTAGATCCAGGTTTGACCTTACCTTCAAAGCTTTTTCACACCATTTCTTTGTATGTATATCTAGGAGATTCATTCCGGAACCATCAGAAAGGTCAATCGGTGCTATTCTGCCGAGGAACAGCGAGCATGCAAATGACGAGATGAGAGATATCCTCTCAGTAGCCTGGTAAGCTCTCTCTCTGGTGCGGAACATCTTACGGATCTGAGAGCCTGTGAAGCGCTCGTACGCTGTAGATCCCGTTATTTTAGCTAATTCCTGTAATGAATAGTTATAATTATATTTTATGAAGTAGTTCGTGCTATTAAGAATTCTTGTTTTCTAGTTCACCATAAGATTTATAACGAAATTTTTATGAAAATATATTTTGACACCTTAAGTTGAAAAGGGACAATAAGTAATGTAATTTTATATTATATTATTTAGTATATTTTTTTCTAACCTCTGGTCCTCCCACAGCCTCTTCAAGAGCTCTACAGTCAGCTGTAGTACTGGAGTCCATCCACACCGGAGAGTCAACAACAAAAGCTGTTGCTAACTGAGTATGGAGGAATTCATCGGGTGACAGGTTGCTCAGTTTTGATTCAGATCCTTTCGCCCACCATACTGAACCATGTTGCTAAGGATAAATTAAAACAGTAATTTTGGAGATTATTCATATGTTGTGCGTGTTTAGGCAGAAAATAAATACAAGTAAAATTTTAGCCTTCCCTTTCTCCTGTTGATATTAGGAATCCCTGGCCCCCTTTTTAATATTGTGTTTCATAGACAATCCCTAACAAACTCTGCAAAAGTATTACCATAGGGCTTGACTTGATAATATACTTGTTTTTCTAATTCTCTTTTAATTCACTTTTAGTTTTTTGGCTGTGGAAAATCTTTCTCTGTATAACTATTAGGTAAGCAAAATTTATAAACAGTATAATACCTGAGCTGCACCAGAAAGTGCTTCAATGGAAGAAAAGTCAACTCCCGCCACCACAAGTCTATCCATGACCATGTCGAGGGCTTTGACCCAAAGTAGCGTTGGTGCAGTCACCTCACCCCTTTCACCGCGCACAACTCCACCAAATGTCCTAATAAATAGATGTAAATAATTATTTCAATATTTATTACATCACATAATTATAAATGTAGCTAGAACAACTTAGCTAAAGTAACAGAATAAATTACGGGTGTTATATTTTTATAATTTACTTTAGTTTGAAGAGTCCTGTTGAAATTTATTCATCATGCATATTCATAATTTTTTTAAATAAAATATAAATTACCTGAATTCTGGCAAATCATTATCAAATTCCACATCAGCCTCTTGCTGTACAACATAATCTTCTCCGATTACCACCGCTTTTAACTGTAAATTATTCAATTACAAAAGATTTTTTAACTATTTAAAAGACAATTAATTTCCGTGGTCAAAATACTTTTCACACGGTCTTTATTCACCATTCACTTTGTGCGCGACCTTTTATATGGAAAACCAGATTTTAGAATTTTAAAATTCAACTCCAAATATTAAATATTTTACAGTTTTGTTATACAAGTATGTAATTTCACAAACTTTTAAAAGTTTTGAAAAATAACATAATAAGGTGGCGTTAGTCATCAAATACGTATTAAAACAGCAATGCACATAATTAAATCAATAAGCTATAAGAAATAATTTAAATAGTAATTTATCGGATAAATAAATAACTTACCCTTTGCGTACTAAAATCAAAACCTAAAAAAGTTTTTTTTCGTGTTTCTTCGATCATTTTTATATTTTGACAGTCGGCAAATCGGCAATCGGGTGTAGACGTACCACAGTTCGTTTAGGAACGAAAGAAGCACACACTAAAGTTTCGTGACCAAATGCCGTATTTCAGATGTTCATGGAAGAGCGATTTCACGATATCATTTTCATATTTTTATACATTCCATCAAAAGCTCTTAATCACATTAATTGGACGTCTGCTATATTTCGATAAAGAAGCCAAGGTCTCGGTTATCTTTAACCAAGATAGCAATTATTACGTATATCAGTTTTACTATTTACAATATGATATATTAATTAACGACACTAACTTTGGAAAAAAACTTCAATTGTTTCAACTGCAAAGATGTCTTTATAAAACCTAACGTTATAAACCTTTATTTATCTGTATAAAAAACTTCGCTATTAAATAGTGTCCTAATCTTTTATTATTAGTCAGAATTCTAGTTTTATATTTATGATTATTTACATGTGCATGTCCAAACTATATTTCTGAATTAAACAGATATTCTTAAGAGTTAGAAAATTATATTTAATTGCTTTTAGGTAAATTTAAAACAATTCCAGACGTAAAACGAATACCACACTCTCCTGATCCCTAGGATGTAAATTTAAACTGATTTTCCTGTAAACGCATAGTATCTAGTTCTAATAAATAGACGTTAGTATTAACTTGCAAACAATATTGCGATAAGAAAGACTGATATCTTCGCTTTTTGTTATTTAATAAAACGTACACACCTACAAATATAAATTAATATTTTAGAATGAAAAAAAGGGTTTTGACAGACAGACGGACGGACAACAAAGTGACCCTATAAGGGTTACGTTTTTTTTCTTTCGAGGTACGGAACTCTAAAACATTACACTATAACAATATTCTACAGATTTTAATTAGTTAACTGTTATGGTAAAAACATAGTTAAATTGTATTTTCAATTAGTATTTACATAAACATCATATGCAAGCTAAGCCTAGGCAAGATTCGTTTCAGATTGTCTGCCAACGCTACGTGCTCGCGTACAATTAATTTTATAAACGAAACTTTCGATTATGTGAAAAAGTAGAACGAGAAACAGCGACATCGACAAAACTAGTGTAACTTTCGTTTTTATTTATTATACTGTTTTGGAGACACGATTTTTTTTTATTTTAGTACCGTATGCGCAGTCATAGGTTACGTGTTAATATGTAAAACATTTAAAATTATATGCACAGATAAAATTGTTTTTGTACACTTATTAGTACTTTATATAATTAATTTATGTACGGTTGTTAATTTCCATCAAAAATAGAAATAACTGTTGAGTTACATGACATTTCTATTCCCCGATGTATGTAGATTATACCGTCCATTAAATTAATTAAAATAATGTAGTTATTTACGTACACGACACCAAGGGCTTACCAATAGCCCACTAGGTCGGCCATTTTTAAGTTTTCGGGTTATTCAGTTCAGTGACCTTTACACTGTCGTCATGCCCTGTTAAACATATTGACTACAGTAACTCAGTTATGTACGGATAGTTCACTCTAATTAAAAAATATGACGTCATTTGCCAAAAAAGTATTAGCGCCTATTTAAAAATAAATGCAATGCGTTTTAAGTGATGCTTTCTGTTTTTAAATGTAAGTGTCAAATAAAATATACATGAGTCTTACAAAACGCAACAAGACGTAATCAAACTTATGGTGTTATAATTTGCAAACCATCTTGTTCATATTATAAATGAATTGATAGACAACTGAGGATTCCCTGTTGATATTTCTTTTCGTAATTATATTGTGTTTTAGCATTGTTAAAGTTTTGTAATAAAATACAGTTAGCAGCATCAGTGTAACATTGTTGTGGCAACTGTATCGTATTTGTTAATGACCCGTGCAAGTGGGATGAGGCAGCGCAGGTAATCGCACGAAAACCCACATGGATGGCTCGTCACCCTCGCTATTTATAATCTCTGTTCGCCCCGCGGTGCCTTACGCTGCTTCGTGAAGATGCTTCGCTAAGCAATTTAAATTTGTAGGTGCTAGGGAAATTGTTGAAACGTTTTCTAATTTTAGAATCATGCTTATGAGATTGTTGGCTTTTTAGAGGTTATACAATGTAACTTTTTATTTTAATCTTCTGTAAAAGAATATTTTCAACATACTAGTTGAATAGAAAAAAAATAGTGATTTTTGAAAACAACAGTGCGTTCATAGAATTAAAAAAAAAATAGATCCGAGAATCGAACTAAAATCCGACAAAATGACATTCAGTAGGTACTTTTATGACAATCAATAGTTGTTTTTAAATTTTCTACTTTGAACAACTTCTTAAAGTGGTAGAGTACTTAAATTATGTTGTAAGACATTTAAGATATACGTAAGTAAGTGAGAGCTTCGTATTACTTTGTGTACCAAATCGGACTTGGAGCAGTTATTTTGCGTGTTCAATTTTTGTTACATTATTATTTGGTGGTGATGTTAAGAAATAAACTGAAATTGGACATAGTATTACGATGTGTAAGTTGGGCGATGGGGCGATGTGCGATGGCGTCTGTGTGTCGGGCGCGGGCAGTCGTGCTCGGGTGGGGCGCGGGGCGCGGGACGCGTCGAGGATGCTGCGCCTCCTAATTGTAAACAAGAGCTTTTTCGATTGGTGGGCGGCAGCGCGCGTGCGTCTTGCCACTGAAATTGTTGTGGCGGCCTGTCGCACGTTATTATTTAAATATGTGAATTTCTGTTACGTTAGTGAGTAAAATTAGGTACGCTTTTACAAAGTTGTATTAAAGTAACCTCTACCAATAGAAAACTTGAAATGAACTTATTAATTAATATGGTTTTCAAAATTCAGCACCTACTTTGACAGCAATGGTCGTGAGTTGTGTACGTACATAGTAGGTACGTTCATTCCCGAGTTGAACCAAGGTATATATTGTCATCAAAGAATCAGTATTTCAATTATATAGACATTCAAAAGTAAGAATTTATCAAGGAGAAAGAAGCATTGTACACATATTTAACTCAAATACGAAAATGATGTGAAATTTCTCAAAATTCAAACGCATACAACTCAAACGTACGTATTGATTACTTCGATAGTAACTCTGATGAAAACGCCAAAACATTGATCGTATTGTTTAGGACGCCGCTACAAAGTTTGATCGCTGGGTGCGTGCGCCGTGCGCGCGTGCGAGCGACCGGCGCGCGGCGGTGCGGGGTGCGGCGCGGGCGGTGCGGGGGCGGTTGGCGCGTGCGCGGGGCGCGTGGGGCGCGGGCGGCAGACGCGCCGCGATGGTGGGCCGCGACAGCCGCTCGAAGAGCGCGGCGCGCCCCTGGGCGCCGCGGCATGAGTAGCGCGCCCGCCCGGCCCGGCCCGTGCGCCCGCCATGGCGCAGGCCGCGCCCGCGCCCCATCGCACCCACTCCTTCGCCAAGAAGACCTTCCACAAGCCCACCTACTGCCACCACTGCTCCGACCTGCTGTGGGGGCTCATCGGCCAGGGCTACGGCTGCGAAGGTACGCCGCGCATGCGCGACGCGCGCATCGATAGCGCCGCCCGCCGGCACGACCAGCGTTATGCAACGTGCCGGGCGTGGCCCCTCCCCCCGCCCCGCGGAAACCACCACGATGACCCTCCGACTCCGAAACCAACCCCAAGTAACCCACTTGAAGCCCTCGAGTAAGTAAGTCCCGGTCCTTGTCGTCCCGTCCACGAAGCCGTTCCTCCATATCGATCCATCGGTCTCGTACGAGGTATTTTCCGCGGGGCGGGGCGGGTCGCATCTCCGCCTATCTCGATCGTGGTGATCCCACGCTGGTCTCTAGTCGAGCCGCGGTTCGTGGTAAGTGATCATAATTTCCGCGGCCCGCCCACCATCTCCCGAAGTCGATGCGATCGCGGCCGGAATGGGAAAAACATTTAACTCTTGGGCCTAACAGCAGCGGCCGGCGCGGCGTGTAAGATGACGTGGGCCATCATGTTTTCCTCGTAACAGGCGTGATTATGAACATAGGTCACAGCAAAATCAATAATTTTGCTTCTGAATTCGTTATCGTCCTTGCAGAGCGTCGGAATCGGTTCGCAATAGTTTTCTAATCTCATTTTGTCTGACGCGAAGTCGATCGATATTTCTGAAACAGCAATGTCACAGATACTTTCACCGTCTCTACTTAACCGCTTCTACTTCTCATTGATATCTCAATGTTTCTAAAATCATTGTCTTCATTTTCATATCATACGCCATATTGAGCGTGTGTCACAAGAATTTTCATTCAATTGTAATTTTTTGTCAAATTCCCTATTACCTTATGTACAAAGTAATTCTACAATAATATGTGAAATATGGAATACGAATAAAAAAAATACTTCTGACTATCATAATTATAGGTAATCAGTACTACTTATTACTTTATCTAATTAATTACGAATGTACTTCTCTTTCAAGTACTTCTTGAAGCAAATGCAGCCATAATTATAATACAAAGGTATAAAACGTATTAGACTCTACGTTTGGTAGCAGACCACGCCTTTACAATGTCATCTTATCGAATGGCTCTTGCCTTCTTTATTGATCTCATGAGAAAATATTTACACTGGTTAATCACGCGTTTGGATTCAAACATTTAACCATACTAGTGGTCGCCCATTAGTCGAATTGCGACTATAAACCATATATTTTTTTAGTAAAAAAAACTATGCACTTCTTTACTCTCTTTCGTAACTGTGTGAAAAATGTTCATCCGTTCGAGTATTTTTTTTAAAGGATAAAAAGTTTTTGCTTCTTCTATTTAATTTAATGTTAAGCAATATTAATTATTACCGACTACATCTTACTAATATCACAAATGCGGATTTTTAGATCGATGGATGTTTGTTTGAAGATATCTCCAGAACGGTTGAAAAGATCTCGATGAAATTTGGCATAGATGTACATATAGGCAACTAATTATGTTTTTTTTTTTTAAATTTCGACAGCTAATGTATTTGTTTAATTAATAATATAATACTTTTTACCAAGAAATAGATATTCAATAACTTCAAGAGTAAGTCAAAGTAGCAACGACTTACAGTTAATTGTCTAAATTGGTTCAATTAGTGACGTTGCAGTTTAATTATTAAGTATAAGACCAGTTGACTTCTATGTATGAAGCTTTCTCTTACCGTGAGAAATAACATCATTAATACCTAGTTACTACCGTGTCAATAAACTCGTCAATTTCTTACTAAAAGAAATAAGCTTTATGTAGTTTCATTTTACTGACAATAGAAATCATTATGGTTTTTTTCTAGTTTTAAATCGTCAAAACGCGATCTCTTACTTTTTTCAACTTCGTTGCTACTTTCTTCATTTTACCGTGAACTCACACCTTCACGTCTCGAACAAGTCACGATTAGGCCAATACCTAGATAACATTAACTGTTAAATTAACTAAATCAATGTAAAAAAAATATAATAATGAGATTGTTGTCTGTCTGATTAATCATAATGTGATTCTAATCTAAAAATGTCAGAATTCTAATTTTTTTTCTTAATCTTTGTTAATTTTTTTTTCTTTTTTACTACTTATAAGTGACATTTTAACATTCATTGATTATCATTAACATCTACAATCAAAATTATATTCATAATCAGTCGTAGCCCGTAGCACTCTCTTCGCGTAGCACATGCGCTGTAAAGCCTGTTACTGGCAAGTAATAAACTGAAATATTTTCTTTTTTATTTATATTATTGTGTTTATGAATTTCGAATACTTACCAGTACGATTATACTATCTAATTATTTTAGCATATTTAGTTTTAGTTAATTTTATATTTTTTAACATTGCAAGAGTTCGTACACGTTTGAATACTTGACAGCTAGAAAAACGTGGGAACAAATCGCATTTGTTGCAGAATAGGCTTTATTCCAAGTTTCCTTTAGTGACATGAGATGATAGCGTTCATTATTCCCGCTCACGTATCTCGACATGTCAAGTTGACGTTGACAGCGCGGACCATAGACAATGGCCGCTTCCGATTCCGGTGTGAGCTACAGACAATGATAACATTTGAACAGGTTTACGTTTTGTTCTTGTGACTTAATACAAAAGTTGCATGACAGAGATACACGGCCAACTGCCACATTCAGACTTGATTAACTTTAATTGTTACTTATTATAAGTAGTAACTTAGTTTAAATATCTTATACTAAACATACACTAAGGGTGTCCTTAGTAACTATTTTACGTCCAATTGCGATAGCTTTAAGATCAAGAAAAAACAAATGCAGTGTAACATTTCAAAGATGGCACGTTCTTTAAGATTTAATCATGCTTAAGTTTTTAAAACTTGCTTAAGTGTTTAATTTATTTATTGGAACGATTTTTATGCGTCAAATTGAATCGTATATTTATTCATTTTTGCTAACTAAATGACTATAAAATCTTATATCTTTAAATGAGCAATTCTTGAATATATGTATATATATAATTGGAATCTCGGAATCGGCTCCAACGATTTTCATAAAATTTAGTATATAGGGGGTTTCGGGGGCGATAAATCGATCTAGCTAGGAATCATTTTTAGAAAATGTCATTTTATTCGTGTTTTATCGATAATCCACTTAAACATAAACTTAACTTTTTCTATCGGTAAGACCGAAAAATATTATTCATATTTCATCATTTTATTAGTAATTCGTATTTAAATATAATTTCCAAAAAACTCAATTTAAAAAAAACATACCGAGCAAAGCTCCGTCATCCAGGTACTAATATAATTGTTAGTCATAATCTTACGTTTTAAATAAAAAAATAAATTCACTAGGGGAAATACATAATAAATAACATTTTTAACTTCAACAGACCACACCTTTGTACTATATATTGTCACTGTTCAAATATTCCAATTACATAATTACTTTATAAAACAGTCAAACGGTCAAATACAACAACGATGACTAATATATAAATTAATTGTCATATACAGGAAATTAATTAATTAGTATTCTATAAATATACACTATGACGTATATTTATTTATCGCAAACGAATAACAAAATATAAAAAAAAACTGGATAGGATTGTCACAGTTCCAAATACCACTTGAAATATTCATCATCAACTCACTAAACGCTGCAAGTGGTCATGGATCGACCATACGCGTCGGGATCCCAGTCATATTACCCAGGAGGCTCTGGAGTGGATCCCGCTAGGAACAAGAAGACGTGGCCGGCCTAAACAAACTTGACGGCGCTCAGTAGGGGACACTCTAGGACTAGAGTCCCACTACAGGGACATAAGACTTTGAGTCAAATCAAGTCACTATACGTCTCCACTTAGGGGCTCGGAGCCTACCCTAAGTTAGAGTTGCCTAGTCCGTAGTCAACCACGCTGGCCAAGTACGCGTTGACTTCACACATATCTTTGAATTGAGTGACATATTATTTCTCAAAATTAGTAACGCCAATTAGTCTACAAGAGGTTCCAATAGAACTAACAAATTGGATATACTATTACTTTAGGTAGTATTCCTTCTGAACGGGTGAAGACTTTATTAGTTGGATTACTCAAAAATACAAAGCATTTTCTTCGGTTTTCAAAGACTATAGGTCGAACCCAATAGTCAATCTTCAAGATCGATTTAAAGTTTACCTTAGATACATGATAGCTAATCTACCGTTAAAAAACGAAATATAGGAGTCCGATTTACATGCGTGTTATTTATTAGTATCCTTTTACAATACGTTCTCCAATGCTACTCAAATCCGTAAAGAAATCAATTAAAAACAAATTAATTCGTAAAGAGATGAAGCCGAAAATAAAGCAAGAAATAACAAATGATTTACGTAGTAAAACAAAGTAAGTGTAATCCTTCGTACGAGGATTATATTTAGATCGACTTGTTCTTGCAAAACTCGAAAATCGAAAACACCGAATGTCCGGGATACGGGCGTATGTAGGCCAGGAGTGACGTCACACGGCGACCTAGTTATGGTGCCATTGAGAGGTGCGCGTCAATGGTGCCCTCACGCGGCACCTCGCGCCCCGCTGCGGCCCCTCGCGGCACCATCGCACGTCATCGATGGGCCCTGCCATCGGTAACATCTGTCGAAGCACTGATCTCTATAAATCGATAGGCGATTGCCTGGAAGTAACTGCTTCTACTAGGTTCCGATTTAAACACGTATGTTAATTCTATCTACATATATTATTGGTTCGAATCCATACCACCGCGGCAAACCGTTACAATCAGCTTCAAAATGGTGAAATTCAAATACGCACAAAATACAATGTCGTATAGCCAGACCATTTATAGAGATGTGTCAAAGGTACTAAGATATAATGAGCACTAAAGATTGTTAAATCGATTACTTACGAGCTTTGCTAAAGCGATGTTAGTTATCCAAGTACATAGCTTGAATGTTATTCCAGTCGGCGAGATATCGCCTGGCAAGACTCCGATTATAAAAGAGTCATGTAACTGTAAAATTCATTTTCTGTGACACTAGTATATTGTTGTTTCTATTGTATTTAAA